TCAATCTCATTTCAGTTTTCATCCACAGTGCCAGCAAAGAGATCTTGTCTGACAGATGTAGATCAAAGGAGCAAATTTGCAAAATAAAACCAAGGGGGGGAAAGCAACGGAGTAGTTAAGGGAAACCTGCCACAATCAACTATATTCTTATAGGGTGATTTTAAATAATACATAGCACACCTCCTCTAATCATATAAAAGCAGCAAAAGCTGGCTCCATGAAGGTATGTAAGACAAGCCCTCTCACTCTCACGTTTTGAAGCTGTGGGTTCCTGGGAATAAACATATTGCTACATGTTTCTTTCCCCCCCCCCCCCCCCCAAGAGACAGCTAGTCTGTCCTCCTGGGCGAAAGCTGCAAGAAGAGCTTCCACAGTGAGAAAGGCCATTCTTCATACAAAAGTGAACAGAAGTCCTAAGGGGCTACTTTGGAAGCAGTCTGCCTTCCACAGAAATCTCTTATCTAGCCCACCTTGCCTTCAGCAAAGGCTAGTACCAGACACTGACTTCCAGTCTGTTTCAAGGCCCAATACGAAGTGCTGGTCCCGGTCCTGTCCATTCCTAACTTTATTTTCCGGTTTTTAAATACATATAATGAACAATCCCCACATATAGCCACAGCATGGTGGCTTTGGGCCATTCCAATACTTCGAAATCTTCATCCTCCCCACCTGAGGTACAGTGGCTGGTTTTGGGGAACAGGGCCTTTTTAATGTTGGTGCCACAGCTTTGAAATGTTTCCCCAAAGGTTCAATTGGCACCACTCAGATTTTGTTCCGCCGCTGAGCAACACCCTTTCTCCTTTTCCCAGCTATGGTTGCTCTGATTCATTGGGGAGCCTGCTTTTATTGCGTTCCCATTTTTTGATGCCTCCGTTTTTATGCTATATTAAACATTTTTATTGTAAGCTACCCTGGCAATGCAAGGGGATGCTGGGTTTTGCCGGAGCCGGGATTCTCTCAGAACCTCGTGAAGCAATACATGTCTCTGGGCATATGCAGAGTGCTTTTCTCCATCAGTCAGTAACTTAAATCTAAACAGCCAACGATCCCAGGTCCGAAACCCGGGAGCAAGACGATTCAAGCTGGCAGGATGTGGCTTCCCAAAGCCACCTCCACCGCCGGCACTTTCCCTTTCGGAGCGTCAGCCTCAGCTAACTAAGGAAAAAGCTTCGAGAACAATCGAGAAACTTCGCCCAGGAAGCGGCTCGAGGCTTTCAGCCAAAACGCTCGGCAAGCGGCAAACAGAGAAAGGCTCGTCAGGAGCCGCCGCGCGTTGCCGGCCCTCCAAGCGCCGGAGAGTTGTAGAGATTTAGGGATAGCCGAGCAAAGGCGGCTCTGGTCTGCGCCAGCCGGAGAGCGAGCGAGCTTCTCGCGGCGGAGCGAAGGAAACGGCCCTGCCGAACCCACTGCAGGCTTGAGGAGCGGGGCGGGAGTCGGGGGCAGATGCTGCTGCCCGCGTCTTCCCTTTCCCAGTCAGCCATTCAAGCCGGCCCGCTTGTTGTGCAAACGGCAGCCGCGCGACCACCCACTGGCGGCGGCGGCGGCGGCTTCTCCCAGGCAGGCGTCGCCCCCGCTTCGGTAGCAGCTCTTTTCCTGGCTGGCCGGAGACCGGCAGCGCCCTCGGAAAGTCTCCGCCTCGTGGCCTCGAGCGCAGGAAGACGCGCAGGAGCCTCAGCCCAGGCCCGAGAAGAGGTGGCGGCGTTTCCAAAAGTACCAGCAAAGTTCTTCAGCTGTTTTTTTAGGAAGGCTCCAACACTTTTATAAAAAGGAAACTACCAAAATGGTTGAGCTTGGGGAAACCTCATTTTTGGCGCTTTTTCCATCACGTTGTTGCCACTTATCCGGGTTTTCAAGACATTCGGCCAATTCAGCAAAAAAAACCCCAAACACTTTATTATTTTTTTGTTTTTTTACTTAAATTTATATACTGCCCTAAACTTGGGGTCTCAGGGCATTTCGCCCCCAAATCAGGACATGTTAGGCATTTGAAGGCAACCCTGTTTAGGGAAGTTTTTAATGTTTGATGTTTTATCATGTTATTAATATTCTGTTGGGAGCCGTCCAGTGTGGCTGGGGAAACCCAACCGGGTGGGCGGGGTAGAAGCAATAAATTATTATAAATTATTATTATTTTCCTGGTGTATGAAAAGTCTAAGTTTCTCTGTCTCCCTCTCTGCCGCTGCTGCACCTTCCTGCAGGCCGACCCTCTGCTTCGAACCCACCCAGGGTCCTGGGGCGGGAAAGGGGCGTCAAGGCGAAGGGAAAACGTAGGGCTGCAGTTCTGAGGGGGGGGAGGGAGCAGGCATCACGGCGCAGGAGCGAAGTGTGAGCTTGGCAGGTTTCAGGCTCTTAAGGTTAACTCAAAGGAAGTCAGAAGCAGGGCTTGCTCTCACTTTCTCTTGAGTAGCCCTGTTTCAAGTGCAAGGGGTCAGCTGCAGAGCGCGGGAAGTGGACGCCTGCCCCTCGAGCATGTGCAGAGCATGCTTCTACCGGCGGCGATGCTGTACATTTAGGATGGGGGTCAAGGCGTTCACACCACTTTATGCACTGCCCACGTGTAGTCTCTACAAACCAGACTCTTTCCCCACAGTTTTAGTGTGATCTTCTGCAATGGGGGCCATGGTTGTAGCTAAGAAGTGAACTGGAAGTGAACTGGCAAGCAGTGCAGCTTGTTTTAAAACAGAGGTTATTGTGGGTTCTAAATGGAACCCATCTAGTAATTTGGCTGCTGCATCTTTGAACAGTTAAGTTTCTAAGTCATCTTCTGTTGGTGGCCAGGGAAATAATATAGATACTGTATTTGAAGGAAAATTCCCTGGGTGCCAAGATCGAAGTTTGGGGCAAGCACTCTGGTGAGAGAACTCCAGCAGAGATTTAAAATCACCAAATACTCAGTAAAGCATGGAAATATAGGCTGCTAGACCTTTAAAATATAGTCTCGAGAGCTCCAAAACTTCCTTCTTCCCTTAGCATAGAAAAAACACCACACATTTGGTAAATTAAAAATGGTTTACTTACGAACTTCAAAGGTATGGTTCATGTGCTTTTTCATGTAACATTCAGCAGAGGTTGCACAGGCAGTAAAATTTGGTTTAGTTAGAGTGGTGAAAGTTCCTAAACTATTAGTACAGGAACTCAAGAAAGGCTTGTGAGAGCCATGCTCACATGTTGAGCTGCTCTGGTAGACTAGGAAGGAACAGTAGGCTAAATAGCTAAGCATGGCAGGACAGCTTACTCTGTGGTCTTAACCCCTTTGTGTATTAATTAGACTTATGCATGTTGGTTATAGCAGAGTGGTTATCCCACATCTTCAAGGAAAGCCCATGTACAGCACATTCCAATAATCCAATCTGTAAATTACATGAGTTTGGAGCACTTGGAGCACCACCAAGTAATCTCTGCCCAAAAGCGGCTGGAACTGGAAACAGGCACTCCTAGCCACCAAGACCACCTGAGCCTCCAGTAACAATGCTGGATCCAGGAGTACCCTTATGCAATGAACCTCTTCCTACGGGGGTTTGATCTGGCCCGGAGGGAGACAATCTCCCCACCTCTGGGGCCCAAGAAATTGGAGCAAGTAGCAACATGTTTTATCAGTATTCAGCTTGAATTTGTATTGACTCATATCTAGCCCCTTTCCAATTCAAACAGCAGCCTAGCATGCTTCAAGCATATCTCTTCTATCTTTTCTAAGCTAACCTTTTAACCAGGAAGTTGTAAGAAGCAATACTTGGTTCTGTTCACTTATACGGATGACTTTATAACTGCTCAATGACGATCAGACCTATATGTTAAATTACATCTTTATCCAATCTGAAAAGGTAAGAGAAATGCTTTTGATTCATTCTAATTTAATGGATTTGTGGTGTCACACTAAGCTTCTACTGTATATTTTAGAAAGTTGTTTGTTCACCATGCATTTGGATACCTCTAAAGATATTAAGGCCATTTTTTTCATGCTAGTTCCTGAGATCAAGAAGCAGGTTTTCATCTATGCTTGGATACAATTGGATGCCATTTTGAATCAAGACTGAACCTTTAAAAACTGCACCATTTAAACCACCAATTTCAAAACTGCCGATTTTTTTATTGTTGTTTCTTAGAATTCCCAAGCAAAGCTGGGTCCAAGGCTTCTAGTTCACAGTATAGGGAAAAGTTTGGGTTTTCTTTGGCAACAGCAATATGTATGTTGGAAAGAACTTCAGATGCTTTATGAGAGAGGACTGGTTTTCTTTTGACTTTAGGCCCTTTCACACATTGTAACATTCTACATGGTGATATATAGAAGGAAAGTACTATACTACATGTTTATGACATCTCTCATCTGTAGAGCCAATTTGTTGGCATGAAACATGGTGATTTCTACGCAGATGTGTATTCTATCTAGGAACATTGCAGTGTGTAAAGTGAATCTGAGAGAAACAACACCTGCCTGCTACTGAATTGCTAACTACAAACTCTAAAAAGGATTTAACTTGGATTTCTGGAATTTTCTGAAGTCAGCGTTTTATCCAAAGGCTGCTGCATATGCTCATGTCTTTGGCTACCGCCACATGTCCAGGGCTCTTACAGAGCTGCAATAACTTTTAAATGCCTCCCTATGTGAGTCTGCTAAATAGTGTGGGAAACACAAAACCCAGTGCTGCTGACCCCAGAGAAATGCAATAACTGGTTTGATGCTTTGTTCTCCAGCAGAACTACATGGTACTTAAGCATTCTCATGGCTACAGGGATCTCGACCACGTGTCTGGTTTTCGGTGACACCACTTTCAAAAACATAAATGTTTTTGAACCAAGCACAACTTGGTATTCTATTTTGTGTTAATGTTCTCCTATGTCTGAATGTACATTTTATTATTTTTTCCCTAAGTTGATTAATCACCTTCCTTTTAACCAGTTAATTGTTTGATTGAGTAATTTTAATTAAATTTTGCATATCACCCAAACTTCATTGTGCTTTTTTGAGTTATTGAAGTGCGAGGCAACATAAAACAAACAAATCAGAAAGAAATGCTGTCTTTACTGTTTTGATTTCCTATTACAGTAAAACACCAGAACTGAAACAGCCATATCTGGCTGACCATCCTATACACAATGAGTAAGAATAATTCAGCTGAGTGCAATTTACTTCTCAGTTGACATACAGTGGATTCCACTGTAAAATACATAAAATGACTTTGTCCTTAGACCCCTTTTAAAACACACCTATTCGTGTTAAATTGTGATCAGGAAAGATGCTTCCATATACGGTAGCCAAAAATCTGCCTTTGCTCCTGTATCCCATGGTGCTTTCTTTTTCTGCAATGCCTCCACTTGTGAATGACTGGGCAGAGAGTTTCCTTGTCAGCCTCCGAGAATTTCTTCGTTCTTTTTAATCTCTCATGAGAAATGCACAGTGGAGCACTCCTGTCATATCAGAGTTAGAATGAATGAGATAAGGATTCTAAAGCACTCTGTAGAATTCTTGTGCTGTATACATGATTAATAACAATGAAGTGACTGGGCATTTTGGAGTGGATTTACCTTAGTTAGTGAATTTCCTTATTTCCCCTTGAATGTTCAGAGAGCAGCGATTAATATTAATGTGCAATTAGAGAACTGGAAACAAAAGCTGGAAATGGAAAGCATGCCATTAAAAAATTGTAATAGACTCCAGTCTGAAGTGCGAGTCTATAACCTCCCCAACAGGCATTCCCGCCCTCCTGCATAATCAGCACTTACTATAAAAGGCATCTCCACATTCAGAACAATTCTTACGTAGATCCTAATTAGAGAGGAGCTCAGTCATTGCCTGTGTGACTTCTCTGGCTATCTATCAAAGCCTGTTATTTTTAAATAAGGGGTCTTCCTGCTCCAGAGTTTCTGCTTCTACCCGCTCCCAAGAATGAAGCTCTACTGCTGAATTTATAACATTACATTACATGCATTCCCATGGCAACAGACTGTGATGTTGCAAAAAGAGAATTATGACTTCACTACAGGTGCTGCCACAAAGAGAAGCTGGGTTACCCAGGAGGAAGTAAATATTCAGAAAGAACATCTGATGCAACAGGGAAGGGAATAAAGCTCAGCAATGATAGAATGGCTGTTATTTGTGCCAATGTACTGTATCCAAAGAGCATTTGCTTAATTGTGTTGCATTTCGCCTCTATGTACTAAACCACAAGCTAGTCAAAACTGAGCTATGAACATAGGGAGAGTGCCTTACAGTGTGTGTCAGGGTGTTTCCAGGCAGGTGTTTATTGTGGGAACAATGCTCATCATGGAAGTTTTTCACTGCATCTACACGGCGTTCTGAAAATGCTAGCTCACATTTTCTTCTCATTTAATCCAGCAAAAAGTATTTTAGAATAAATCAACCTATTTGATGTCTCAACAATTCATTTGCAGTATTTAAACCCCATCTGGAAGCACCTTTTGTCAGACAACAGGTCCATCTTCTAGCCCAGTATTATACACTGACAGGCTGTGATTCTCCAGGGCCCCAGCGAAAGGTCTCACCCCTGTCCTACCTGGCGATGCTAAGGACTGAATTTCTGCCTGCAAAGCCTGTGCTCTGCTACTGAGCTGCAGCCCTTTATTCATTCATTTAGGCTAAGATCCTATGTCCACTTATCTGGCAGTAAAACCAATTGAAACGAGGAAGACTTTTATCTGAATATATAGGATTGCAGATCAAGGCCCTTAACATGTTCATCAGGGGTTAGTCCTGGATTTAATTTAATGCTAGGGTTTAATCTTAAGAGTATGAGAAGTTAATAATAAAGAAGAAAGATCTTCTGATTGTAGACATACAAAAGTGCTATGCTGACAGTTCATTCTGTTTGCAGCCTGATTTCCCTTTTAGCTCCCATTCTGGCTTCCTCTCATTAGAATGGTGTAAGCAATGGCATCACGTAGAAGACAATGGAGAAATCCAAAACTTGTGTCACTGCAGTGATCTGGTAGCCATTTGTAGCGTTGGAGTTTGATGGATATATTGCAGCAATGTGCAGAAAGACTCTGGTTGAAAGGATAGATAAAACTTAAAAGATTTATTACTCAAGGCAAACAAAGTCATTGCAAATAGATGTGAAGGTAACACTGACACATGTTAGCTCATACTCAGACTAACTCGGAAAAGAAGCAAGAAGGAAGTAAAGCCTGAGAGTTGGTGATCTACTTTACGAACAGGTAACGTTACTAAAAGAGAAGGAATCAGTAAGGGATGAATAGGTTGCTTTTCTGTCTATTCCATCCCCACGGATTCCGATAACTTACTGCAAACTTTACTGCAAGCTAATAAGCAGCATGCCCCAATCCACTCTCCAACCAAGTAGTGTGGGAGATTTAGCAGCCCAATCTAGCAATGCATATTCTTCCTAGTTAGCATGAGAAGGGGCTAAGACCACAGAGCTTAATTCTGATAGGCAAAGACAGGCCATAGAAATTTAACTGGTAGGGAGGGCTCTGTGTGATGTCAGCAGCATCATTATCATTTATGTTAGTAGCCCAGTCTTCCTCCAAGCAACTCAAGAGCACCTGTACATGGAGCAACCTCCATTTATTCTTGCAACACTCTTATGACGTAGGTAAAAATGAGTGGTGATTACCAGCCCAGTGTGAACCTGTGGAATGCATGGCTGAGGTGGGATTCAAACCCATGTTTCCCACATCTCTAACCACTATACCACATCTGATATCTGTATCTAATAGTCATACAGAAAATTAATCCCATTGTGTAATATGTCGGTATCTCTCTGGCTTTGCATAATAAAAGTGGGAGGCAAATAATAGAATTGTAATTATTGCTGCTTACTTCCCACTGTGATAAAAACAAATTTATTGCCTCCTGTGTGAATCACACCCAAGGGCATCTCTCTGGCTGTTGTTGGAGGGAGAGGGCTGGATTAAATAGATCTGATTCAGGAAAGCAGTTCTTATGATGATGATGTTGTCATCGTTCTGCTCTTAGACAGTCTTCTCTAACCCGGTGCTCTCCAGATGTTTTGGACTACAGTTTCCATCAGCCCCAGCCAATGTGGGAGCTACAGTTCAGCACCCCTGGAGGGCACCAGCTTGGGGAAGGCTGTCCTGGAGAAGATCATGTTTGAGGCTGTTTACAAATCTGCACTGTGTTCTTTATCACCCAGGGCTTGTGGCAAACTACACTTTAAAACAAGGAGTAGTGTTAATAGTATGTAATGAATTACGCAAAAAGCTCTGCTAGGGGGTGAAAAAGACAAAATATTAACTTTGTGTAAAACATTTGAATTTTAATGCTGAGTGCTGACTTAGAACCTCACGTTTTCTTCTGCTTGCTTTTGGTTAGCAGGACTGAGAAACGGGGCGGGGGGCAGGTAACTGGTAATATTTTCTTCCATCATAATTTGGCAGCTGGAGTGAGGGAGGCATCTCTCTCTTTTCCCCCTTCCCTCACCTAAGTCCCCTGTTACTACTTTGTGTGCTGTTATTGCCAGCCAAGCTGCAAGTAGAGTGCTTGACAGGAGGATAAGATCCAGATTTGCAAACATCCAGCATAGAATATCTACATTTCAAACTCAGAGCTTTGTGCTACAGCAGCCTTTGCAAACCTGGGGCCTTGCCTAGAGTGCAAAATAGCCTGGCACCAGCACTGGCTAGGATTGCCAGCTGCTTCTCTTTTTTTACCAGCTTATGCTCCTGTGCCTTCAACAGCAGGTTGATCGGCTGATATCAGCAGTTATAATGCTTATTTGTCTACTGTGAGAAGCTTTTTGTAGTTTAGTCGTTTAGTCGTGTCCGACTCTTCGTGACCCCATGGACCAGAGCACGCCAGGCACTCCTGTCTTCCACTGCCTCCCGCAGTTTGGTCAAACTCATGCTGGTAGCTTCAAGAACACTGTCCAACCATCTCGTCCTCTGTCGTCCCCTTCTCTTTGTGCCCTCGATCTTTCCCAACATCAGGGTCTTTTCCAGGGAGTCTTCTCATTATTATTACTTTTTAGTAAAGATTTTCTTGATTTACAGAAGCATGTGTAATGTCTCTCATATTTTTTCCATGTAACATTTTTACAAATCAGTTTCATTTGTTGAGACATTAGGAAGAAAGGGGTGGGGTGGGGGTCAGGTGGCGATGTTTCTATTTTGCTTAATGTAGGTAGGGTTTGGGGTCAGCGTTACTCGTGCAGGTTCTCTGCTGTTCACTTGTGTTCCTTTGGTGGTGAGAGAGGTTGGGGTTGGCCTAGGGTGTGGTTGTTTAGCAGCCAGAAACACCATAACCAGACACTGGAGAGACCTGTCGGGAGTAAGCATGGACCAATGGTACCAAATCGTATGGGAAACAGCCCTACTAGAAAAATTAACCAATAAACTGAAACTGACATGGGGACAAACAGAAGAAGACGCCCCTTTATCACGTACACAGCCCAACAAGACAATGACAATAATCCACCAACAGCATACAAATCGATATGGCTAACCTGATCCAAAACACCCACCCACCCCACTCACACATGAAAACAAAGATCACCACAGTCTTCTCTTCTCACGAGGTGGCCAAAGTATTGGAGCCTCAGCTTCATGATCTGTTTTTCAAGTGAGCACTCAGGGCTGATTTCCTTCAGAATGAATAGGTTTTATCTTCTTGCAGTCCATGGGATTCTCAAGAGTCTCCTCCAGTACCATAATTCAAAAGCATCAATTCTTCGTCGATCAGCCTTCTTTATGGTCCAGCTCTCACTTCCATACATCACTACTGGGAAAACCAGAGCTTTAACTATATGGGCCTTTGTAGGCAAGGTGATGTCTCTGCTTTTTAAGATGCTGTCTAGGTTTGTCAGGCCAATTTCTACAAAGGCGTAGGAGTAAACCAGGTCTGCTATTCTCTGGTTAGCTGTCTGCAACCCTAAAGAGATCTATCAGGGTGTTTGTACGGAGCAGGGGGCTAGAAAATCAAGTGCACAGAGATGGGACAAGGATGTGATGAAAGCCAAGCTTCAGTGCTCTAGCTGTGAGGCTGGCATGGCTCTAACTTGGGCAGGCAAAGAGGAAGAAGCAGAAAACTGAGTAGGTGAGACAACAAGGCATTGTCTGATCACTTCAAATCTCTGAGGTTCTTCTACTACTAGAAGGCACAGTCTGCAAGTAGCAGAGGTGACCCACCCTATTTCGCCACCTGAGGAGAAATGGGAATGTCCCACCCCTGGTTGCCCTCCACCACCTCCCCGCTGATGTCTCGCTTACCAGGGTCATGTGACTGTGACGGCTTCCAGTGAGATATCGTGGAACTCTCACAAGATCTCACTGAGATCTCACGGGAAGCTGCCACTGCGTGACACTGCCAGCTGTGGTAGGGACGGGTTGGGCATCCATGGGGGCACCACCCCATGGGATTCTGCCACCCAAGGCAGCTGCTTCAGTCTGCCTCACAGGCACAGTACTGGCAAGTACTGTGTTGATTCAAGGGAATCTGCACACTTTTTCATGCTTCCAAGAACTAATTATTGATCATTAACTATGCTGGGTTATACTTGTTATGGGGAGCAGTTATTTCAGATAAAAATATTTGGCTTGAAAATTACTACTTTTAATTTCAGTATCCTGTTCACACATGGAAATAATGCTTGCAACAATAGTGGATTTCAAACATTGTTACTGTGGAAAAATAGGTGGGTGTAGAGAGAGGAACTGGAAGAGTTGTGCTATTCTCTTATTTTAACAGAAAGCAATTATCTTTGCATTTAGTCAACCCTCCTGTCTCTACAGTTAGGCAAGGATTTTCAAAGTCAGCAATTTACATTTTGCAGAGCAACATGCCCTCATCACTGTAGCCTGAGTCTTTAATATGCAGGAATCTCAGCATCCAGCTGGTAGATTTATGCCTGGTGGAAAATAATACAAATTGCAGAGAACTTTCAAGTCTCCTGAGTACAGAACA